GTGGGCTCATTGAGCCCACTCTGGAGGGTGCAGGGGACAGGTCGGGGGTGGTAGAGGTGGAGCCACTCTCCCTGTTTTCTGCTACCGAGGAGGAGTCCGGGGGAATTGAAGTGTCGGTATTGCGTTGGCCGCGCTCCCTATCCCCCTCGACTCGGCGGGGCTGCACCGTTCATGCAGTGGTGGAGGGGCGGCGGGGGGAGAGAAGAGTCGGTATTGCGGTGCGCCGTTCGCTCCCTACTATCCGCGGCCGAATCGTGGTGAGTGGGGCGTGGGAGCCACAGACCAGGTTCGCCGCTGAGGGCTGGGAGGCTTGTTGCTTATTGGGACTGGCTCTCTTGGCTCCCATGGCCCCTGGTCACCGAAAGCGGGGGAAGTTCGTTGGCTGTGAATAAGGGGCTGAGTAGGAAGGCGCACTGAATGTTCCAGCGCGCCTTACCTGGAAGAGAGGGGAGTTGATCCCCGGGAGGGGGCTGCTGAGGTGGCCAGCGTTGGCAGGTACGCGGAAGTGTGCAAAAACGTTCCCGTGGCCCTGCCGATATGCGTCTAGGTGCCACATGGTGGGGGTTTTAGTCGGTGCGAGTCCGACATAACCCGCTCTTGCCCCCGCGAAGTCGGGTGTGCATAGGCATTTCCCCCACGTCAACAAACAAAAAAGGTTAGGTCTTACTTGATTGTGTTATCGTGTTCCTGTGTCCCGGCAAAAGCGAGAACGCAGGTGTAATCTGGGTGTTTACTTTTAGGGGTAACCCCTTGCTCCCGGGGACCACCTACCCGTGCTGCCTACCCACAATGCGGCGGGGGATCCATAAAGGATTTTCCCACGTAAAAAATGACCTACATTGAGCATATGCGTGAAGAAAATAATAATAACTGAAATTCTACTATGAATAAAGCGCTGTGAGTGGGTTAGGCTTATTATGAAAAACAACACAATATTTTAATTTTTAGGCAATACACGGAGAAAGACACAAAATAAAAATAAAAAAATCCTAATGATGTTAGTTGTTTTTAAGGTTTTATTTCAGTAATTCTCTGATAACATTGTGATAAAAAACCTATTATCTCGTAATTGTGCAATTAAGTTGGTCCGTAATTGTAATTACGAAGTTTATTCATCTATAAACCCCTTTAACTTTAACCATTAACATATTTTATTGGTGGTTCGAACAGGTCTCCCTACGTGAAGTTTTCAACGTTATCTTTTGTAGTAAGACCGTTGTAATTGGTATTTATTACTGGACGGAAGATCTAATGGCGAAACAAAGTTAACATTTTTGATTAAATAACAGTAAATATTTTGTATGGTGATTTAAAAGTTGAGAATTCAAATTCACTTCTATTATTTTATTTATTTATTAAATTCACAAATATTGTATTGTTTATTGTGTATGCCTATTATATTATATAATAATTATTATATTAATTTCTAAATTTCTGTACATATTCATAAGTAGAGTCCGTTGAGTTATTCAATAAATCCCAAGCAGCGTTTAGTCAACGTTGATTTCTTCTCATATAAAGCTAATTTACCGAAGCATTATAAATGCAAACGAATACTGTTTGTTGAATGGCCGAGCGTAGGCGAGACGCTTGTCACGCAGTCGAGAACATACAAATTTATAAGGTCTTGATCTCATACATATTAGTCTACCAAACTCTAAACGAGGCTTACAGTGAAATTCATCTTAAACTTGAATAGCAGCTCAAGCCAGTCGGCCGTAAAGCCTGGTTAAATCTATTGTAATTTGGTAACCTTGACGGCTAGCGTCGACACACAATTCGTTATTCATTTTGCATGTAGGCGGCCGCGGCTGTCGACAGCGTTGCCACAACCAATGACAATCTTTGTCGCGGAAATTAATTATGGAAACCTCGCGCATTTGCAAAACGTTCGCAAACTTTGTGTGAGGAAAAAAGTTAAGTTTGAAAACTAAAATATGACTACTGAAAAATCGCACAGCGGGACGTATAAAATCAAGCTGAGCAATCCTTTTTAATACACAAGTACACACAGTAATATTTCTACAAACCCTTACCTTATCTATTATCTCTAATATAAATAATCTTAAAAAAGTATAAATAACTAAAACAAGTAACATAACTCGTTTTAGTTATTTACACTTTACATATGACTTGCACGTGTTCCACGTTGGCTTTAACATAAATTTAAACTCAGTTCGTGTACTGAACTTATAAATCATAGATAACGACCAATTGGCTATATCTTTTGGCTTAGACAATTCCGTATTTCCGTATAAAAACCTATGATAGTGCTAATTGCGATTTCTCTACGGCCCTTTCCAGTTTGGACGGAAGTTATTGAGCTTTAGGCGAGCTCAATACATGCGTAACAGATAAAACACTACACTAAATGGCTAAGACAGGTGAAGTTTTGAATTTATATTTCTTTTGAGGCGCATTTGGAAAAAAATATATAATTTTTTACGATGCGTGCGCGCACGAATAGACAAAAAGCAACATGATGAAGTCAACAACTTTTTGGTATTTACCTATTCAATTGCATTAAATGTCCTTTTCACAAGGGATAACACTTCTAGCTATTTTGTTTTGTTACGCTTAAGAAGACAGGGGTGAATAACCAGAGTGTGTTACCGTATGACATATGGTACTGAAACTAGGTCTCGAAAAGCTGGCCTTTAAGAGAAACTCAAAAAGAAACATCAAGCTATGGAGAGAGCTATGTTCAGAGTTTCTTTGCGCCACTAAATGCCACCAATGCTAAATAACTGAATTCTATTACTGAACCAACAATTGCTAACATAGAAGTTTCAGTAAAAGGGCCCAAGAAAGGGCGCTTACTTAAATCGCTCGAGAAGTTGTTATAAAGTTGAACTCGAGAGCATTGGATATTTCATTTGTAGGAGTAGAAATGAAGCCGTTTAGTGCCATTCTTTATGTAAATATTCCATTGTGAACACGCCACTCGCCTCGGGTAGGGCTAGGGCGAAGCCTAAACGCTCCGAATGGAATGCATAAATCGTTTAATACGTCGGCCATTGTTGACGTGATTCGTTAACGATAAACTTGCCTTGTAAACATGACGTTTGACGAATGAAATTTTTGTATCATGTTATACGTTGAACAGTTTTATTCATAACTAGCGCATCTATTGCTCGATTTCCCACGGGTACACAAGACTAATTTACTTCTCATTATATCAAACAAAAATAAATATTATAGCGAATACTTAAATAACTCACGTTTTATACATATAATAAAGAACAATAGGTACAGATGTTAAAAATGGTGTTATTACAAGACGGCCAGTACTTTTCCCCCTCAAAGATTACATTACCAAAATTCAGAGAGGAAACGTAGTAAAACGATTAAAAGTGATGTAATTTGAGTATTTTCTAGACGTTGAAAACAATGGTAAATCCATCGTCAACCTTATGCCTTTAACCTTATGAAAAATGCTGTATGTGGCATTGGTTAGGTTTTTACGAGCGGCAGGCTACCTGAACTCCACACTCCTTAGCAAAAACACCCAGATCCAGAACCAATATCTATCATACAAAAACCATCTTAAATAAAATAAGTTATCAACTGTGCCATCGAATCAACAAATGTTTCGCGTGGATAAATAATTATGTTCACCATTTTAATCTCTAGCCAAATTTTATATAATTATAAATTCTAAAGATTATCAATTACTAACTAACAAACAAATTTATTTCAAATTTTTTTCGCCTCGTTTTTGTATGGATGGAAAGAGAACAAATTAAAAGCTTGCCTTTAATACTGATTGTAAGTTTAATTATACAGAATTAAAGACGGATTAAGTATCGGTAATAAAAGCTGTAATATCAATCACTGGTATCAGCGGCGCAGTCCGTAATAGTTTCTTTACTATCCAACATGCACGAGGATGTTAAGTATTTTATCTCTGCCTTATCCCATGCTTTAACCTTATGATAAGATCTGAAAAGGGTTCGGCTACATCGAAGACACGAGATAATTTCTAATTTCCATTACAATACTCTCCTAATATATGGTATTCCATAATTGGTTGTGGCAACGAGCCGAGTATCGATATTGACTCGATGTATATACGTAATTGTTTTGTACAAATATGTCATAAGAAACAAGCAATTCTCTTATTTGTAGATGATCTTCTAATAGGAAGCATTCGTGTATTCCTCAGTTCAATGTTTCTTGTTTTGTCAATATTTATGTAAGACAATTATTTGCAATCGCCATCAATAAATTATCTACCTTCTTTTCGATTTTACTGACCATCAAACGCAAATACATATACATATATATGTAAATATATCCGCGTTTGTCTACATATTTTACTGCATGTATTTGTGTAAATATTTTAGTTTGGTTAAACACTTTACATTAGACACGGTCCAAAAGTACTGAGAACCCTTAATTTAGTCGATTTCAACGTATATATTATATGTGTGGAAGAATGTCACACGCTAGAAGCCCAACGGCAAAACAATAATTGCATTATTAACAAACTTTGTTATATTATTTTTAACGTGAAACATTGTCAGTTGAGCATGCGGCTCAAAATGGGTACAGGTTACCGCACTCACCAAACGAAATGCGGTCTTCTGTGAGACCGTGGTACTTTCCCGGACGAGTCTGCCCATTCGTGCAACAGCCGAAGGTGTTGCGTGGCCCTACCACTGTAAGATGTTTACAAAGGCCGAATTTTTTTTAATGTGTGAAAAGTTGACATCCGAGTAGACGGTTCACCTGACGTTAAGTGAATACCGCCGCCCATGGTCATCTGTTACACCCGAGGGTTCCAGATGCGTAAACAACCTTTTGAAAATTGGGCTACGGCCACCTCACTCACCAAACGCGAACGTATTACACTTCCACTTTACGCCGGTCTTCTGTGAGGTCGTGGTACTTTACCTGACGAGCCTGCCCATTCGTGCAACAGCCGAGGCAGCTGCGTGGCCCCATCGTAAAAAAGTAATATATTTCTACACATCCCGCTGTAAAATTGTGGGCCGTACCTTGCATTTCATGGCAAGCACCAGCTGGTAGCGGTGCGCCGTCAGGGCGTCCTTGTAGGAACCCTGGCTGAAGTAGGCGGCGCCGAGGTTCCCGTGCGCGCGGCACTCGCCCGCCGTATCCCCGAGGGACTTTGCCACCGCCAGGTCCTGCTGCATGTAGTTGATGGCCGCGTCCAGCTGGCTTAGCGCCCAGTGAGCGGAGGATAGCGCGCTGAACACCGAACCCCTGATGACAACGTTACACCCTGGTTAAATTTCCCTTTCCCCTTTAACCAAAAACGGAATAATCGTTTGTTGATCACACAATTATTCACATTGACGATAATTCCATAATAATTCGATTCGTGTTTCAAGCAAAAGCGAATGACTTTATTTGAGCTAGAACTTCCATCGAATTCTCGCACAGTTCCTTACTCCATTGTGAGGGAAGTCAATGGATGCAGGTGGCTCAGGGTCCTGCTTCATGATAACGGTGGTGGAGGCCTTTGTGCAGCAGTCGACTCGAAAATGACGATGATTAGCTACAATAATAAACAATTTGCATTTCAGGGCGTAAATTTATCTTTATGATTTGTGGCAGTCTATATGAGCGCGAAACTCTCTTCTTGTGGGGAACACTGATAAAAAAGCAGGACAAAAGATCGTAATGTTAATCCAAATTTTGACGATTACGTGTACCTAATGTTGGAATCGTCGAGAAAATTAAGTAGAATTCGGTGCACAATTCATATTGGCAGAAAACGCGAGAAATCAAAAGACTCGTGCGGAAAAGACCGCCCGTGTACTCTCGGTCCCTTCACACGCGCACGGATAGCAGCGCCGATTGACGGCTGGCGATAAATAGTTTAATTTCTTCTGCGGCTAATGAATCACTTAAAGTGTAATTTGACGTTGCGCTCGACCCTCGCTCGTGAAGATACGTCCAGAAAGCCATTTTTACTGAACCCCGCTTATTGTTCCACATTCTCTGTCACTGATTAAAATCGACTTGGGTGAGTTGTTTTAACGAAATCGTTGTTAATTATTATTGAAAATTAATGAAGAACTGATGCTTCGATGCATGAGTCTTTCGGCGAGAAACAGGCAGCTATTGTCAAAAGCGACAAAGATTTTCATTTTAATATCATTGTGTGGTGATGATGGGATGTCAACGAAGAACACGTTTTCACGTCTTTATTAACCTTGTATCTTCTTTCTTCTGCTCTTATACCACCAGGATAATGCAAATAGTATTGACAAGATGTTCTACGAGCGGGCGTACACTTGACGTCAACCGTTCTTGGGAAAAAACACACATACGCGGGACAAATTTCTTTGTATCACATTAATACTTGGCCTATCTGGGAATCAAACCCACACCCCCTGCGACGAAGCCAATAGTTTTGCACCTGCACCACGGAGTGCATTAAACAAGTGTGTTCCATATTTACATATGTGGCACTCGTATCATTATTCAATGAAATTCGATTAGTTGTAAATGGAGATGTGGTGAAGATAAATACTAATTCTAGTGCTTTCAGCACACGATGAAAACCGCAAAACAAACGATTTCTCGGTTTGTATTAACATTTTTAAGTTTTTTTTTTAAATAAGTAATTCATTAATTTATTCAGCCAAATGAATCTAGTAATGGTAATAAATGGTAACGATTTATAGATAGAGAGCAAACTTTTGTTTGAATTTCGATTAGAATGCATTATATTGCCAGCAATAATATGTTACTGTGGTGTTTATAATTGTAAAAAATGTGGTGTAAATGTAATTCTAACACAACTGTGGTAACAACATGTCACTAAAACTTGTTAATTTTTCACTTAAGCTATCAGCGTCACGTGGAGTCTTAATCTCATCAATGCGTGAGCAACATGTATTTTCGGTTTCAATAATTATGTATCAAAATAACACTTTCCATACATTTGTGTCTATAATACGCGTCGAAAGATACTCTAACATATTTATTAATTTGCGTATATATCGGATTCAATTTAAGTGAAAATGAACCGTAGAGTACGCATCGCGTTCTATATAAAATTTACAGTTATCTGATAAATATTTTGTAAGCGCTAAAGATCTTATCAATTCAATAGACCCACTCCCACCAGGCTATTCGTAATGGCGGCCACATCCACAGTCTCGTCTTCTCCGTTTCAACGGGCTAACTTATCCACGTTACTTCTTTTATTGCTCACCATCAGTCAACAATTATCTCGGACCGATAGCAATTGGGGGGTATAAAAAGATAAAAGACAAATGTCGCTTAAAAGTGTACTTGATACGAGACAACAGAATAGGGTCGTATCGATACGGGATTCAATCCATCAAGCCGCGATAAGATCTGCCCGAGGTGTGGGTTTCGACGCGGCTGGGGTTTGATACCGACAGTGCCGACCAACCACTTGTCGATTTGGAGACGGGAGAGTCGTCGCATAATGCGCTAAGTGGACCGATATTTAAATAAATGGCCCTGTGTGTATGCACAAACGTATATAAAGGGAAGCAATAATACTAAATTAGTGCAACGAAAAGAGAAATCTCCGTAAAGGAAGAGGATTTTATTTCCTAAAAAGCTTATTTACTTATATTTTTATTATCAACAAATAGGTTATTCTAAAATCTTTTCGGTTATAATTATTTAATAGAATGTACAGAACTTATCTGATAAACCAAATTATAAATAAAATCTTTTCCCGAGAGCCATAAATCGGGTCAACAGTCTGAAAACAAAAACGCCAGTCGAAGTATGTTATTAAACGTGAATGTGTTAAATGTTTTATTATTAAACCGTCATTAATTTCACCATGCCTAAGAGAATAAACAAGGAACGCTATACGCTTACCAAATATTCAACCCTTTATCGCGAGGCATGTTTATGGCGCTATTAGGAGCACCGTTAATGACCCCATAGTCTCCACCTTGCGAAGTTTAGCGTAAGCTGCCGCAATATATCTCTCAGTTAGCGATCAATGGGGATTGAAACATTAGAGATAGCATTATGTTTGCATAATGAATGCAAGTTGTTTTTCCTCTCTATTATGTGTCGATTAACTTTACAGATAGTCAAATTTTATTGACGCAGATATATGCGATATAAGAAAAAAAAAATGATTTAATAAACCTACATATATCGGCCATGTATTATCGGGAATAAAATCCACATATATGAGGGATGGCGTGCTCGTAGAAATTATTATTATATTAAAGAAAACATGTAATAGTGAATTAAAGTAACAGGCTACATATGTCCTCTGTAACCCTCCTCGAAATGTGTCGGTAGTTAAAGTAACGTATTTTTGAAATAATGACAAATATTTCGGAGATACGTGAAGTCTACCAATCCGCAATGGGGTTTACTTAGGAATCCCCGCAGTGGGAAATACGTAGGCTGTTACTTAACTTATTAATTATAAATATAAAATCTATTTTCATTCTATTAATTCCATTTACCTTTTCTATGAATGTCTCATATCTTATAAAGAGATGCGAAAACAAAAAGCTGTGGTTTGGCTACTAGACACTAAAAATCGATTTAAAACAAATTCAATTACATCAAAGACCATTGAGTTTTGCAACTTTTATAAAAATAACTTGCTATCGGCAAGTCTCTTACGGACTCAAATATGCGGTGATTTCGTGGCCAAACATTGCAAACAATCCCGTTGCATAAGGCTGCATTATACGATGTTTATGCAAACAAATTTTCAAACGAGCCTTGTAAGCGACTTGCCATGAAATCCTCGTTATTGATGGTTTAATTATATAGATTTATATTCCCATACAGTATATTCGGTATTTAATACTTTACACTTCGATTCACACCCCGAATCGTGAGCGAAACGCTTAAACCAGGGCTGCTAACTGCTTAAAAAAGTGAATTACTTAAAAAAGTTACATAATTACTCTAGTATTTATATGAATTAAAGTTAACATTTAAAATTTTCGACATATCGATTAAACACTACGTAGTGACCAACCTTTTAATTATTGATTTAGTTATTATATCATAACAGATACACAGATATCCCGAAAACTATACAGGTCATATCAGTCAGAAATAATAGTATAAAAATGGCATCCAATTTTAAAGATCGTCCTTGTAAACTTTACTAGTCTCAGTGTACTTAAGTCTCAGTGGTGATGTCATTTAAATCATTAATATTTCTTAGTTTGTTTTAGCTTATTCCGATGCAGTATGGTACGCACAATGAAAATCGAGTTGAAATGAAGAGTAAGAAAAATGTGCAAAAATTAGTCAGAATTTTATTAATTAACCTTTTATTTTAATCCATTACTGTTAGTATTACAGTAATAAATCCGTAAGAACTAATATCACACAGCAAAAATAGAATCACATTGTTTCTCTAATTGCGGGGTTTGGAAGCCCTGTTGTGTCGAAGGCATTAATAGGCGGAAGACAAACGGCTTCCATGCAGATATTCGCCTTCATTAATGGCGTAGCGTTATTATTTTTAATCGCCGCTCGTATGTAACGAGTTGACAGCGGTATAATTTATACGCATTTAAGGGTGCGGTTATCTTTGGCGGAATTTTCGACGTTTCGATTTATAATAAGCGAGGTCGCGGCGTTCGGTCCGCGGGAAATATGTGACGTCTCACCCTAATGAGGCGACATCATTTGCAGGATATGCGGACAACTGGATTAACATATACGGTCAATTCAGTTAACAATGTTACAATGAAAAAAAAAAAAGTAAGATCTTAATCGTTCCAATCGTACGAATTATCGTTGTAAAACGATATTCAAAATTGTTTGTATGCTGGAAAGGATATAACAATGGATGCGCCAAGCATTGCTTCAAATACTAAAACACAATGTAGATAAAAGGCTTTGAGAATATCGCCGGAGTGGCAATCAGCCGTTTAGCTTAGTCGCTAGAGCATCAGGGAGTGAATGCCGAAGACGTGGGTTCGATTTCCACAGCGGCGAGAAAGTTTTCGTTTCTTTTTTCTTCAATTTAACATGTAATCTTAAGTACAGAGATTAGCACTATAACCATTTAAATTTCTAAAAAGGTAAGATCTCTTTGTATTATTAACGGAAACTCAATTCTGTAACTAATAAGAGGTAGGTCTCTGTATTTCTATATCTGTATTTTTGTAATCTCTCTTGCTTATAAATATTTTTCACAAAAGCTTTAAGGGATGTGTAGCCTAACTGAAGAAGTAACAAACGTTGAGAAGATGGCGCGAAGTGCAACAAAGAAATAAAAACTTATGATTTTAAACCCAGTATTAATAAGTTCTGATACACAACTTTATTAAATTTGCGTAATTGATTAGCCCAATAATAACTTATGGGTAACATTAGTAAAATGCTTAATATTGTTATACTAAAAAATCTTCATTATTATGTAAACTATTAACGAATGTCTTTACCATAGCGTATAAGTTTTGGTATTCTTAATCGTATTCTGTTATGATGTCATATACGATTGGATATTTTATTAATTAGGCGTCGTAGGACTTAATGCCTTATGCTATTGTGTAGAATATGTTCTTGCGATTTTAATTGCGTAAGAAAAATAATTTTCAAAAATGTGGAGTAACTCTTAGGTACAGATATATATTCTTCTTAACATAATTGCACTAAAATCGGTACAAACTATCGTGAATACGTAATAATAAGGCACGCGAGAAGACGAAGAACGAGACGCGACATTAAGCCATCATAGGCTGTCCCTGTTTTATAATGAGATGAATAACTGTATGAATGGTACGTGACAAACTGAACATCGGGCAATTACCTCGCTTTAATGTTCCTGAAGCGGTGCGAGAACGACGCATCTTAAATTATATGAACATCTTAATTTTACTCGCTTGGTCGCAGTAATCTTAATTTAGTTCCCACCTTAATTTCAGAGAGCAAGACCCGATCCGCAACGCCGCTTCTAGCACTGTCACGGCGGCTTGATATTGCCCGGCCGCCAGCAACTCTTGTCCTACAACCTGTAAAAAAGGCCAGTACAGAAACTTTTTTCTTTTTTTTTAATGTGAAAAGTTGCCAAGCGAGCTGACGGTTCACCTGATGTTAAGTGAATACCGCCACCCATAGACATCTGTTAAACCCGAGAATTGCAGATGCGTTGACAAACTTTAGAAAATTGGGCTCCGGCCACCTCACGGATGAAACGCGAAAGTATTATACCTCCAATTTACGCCGGGCTTCTGTGAGGTCGTGGTATTTAGCCGGACGAGCCTGCCCATTCGTGCAACAGCCGAGGCTGCTGCGTGGCCCTATCGTTAAAGTTACTCCGTAAGAAGATGCCAAGCGAGCTGGCAGTTCATCTAATATTAGATGATAACCGCCAGCAGCGAACATTTGCAATACCCTTAGTGTTACAGATGCGATGCCACGCTCTAAAAAAGTGAGGCCCCGTTTACCACACTCACCAGACGAAACGCAGAAGTATTCACGCCGGTCTTCTGAGAGGTCGTGGTACTTCCCCGGACGGAACTGCCCATTCATGCAACAGCGAACACTGTTGCGTGGGCAGACAGACAAATTTACATCCAAGTTTCCCATACATGGGGATGTTCCATAACGACTGTATTTTATACTTCTGTTGATTATGTTCGAAGAGACGTTTGTAAAGTAACATGTGAGTCTTAAAATGTATTGGTCAAGAAGCGCTAATGTCCATCGGGGTATTAGGACACTGTTCATCTGTGTCGGCTTACTAAATAATATTTTTATTTATTTTATTTTTTTTAAACATTGCCCTTACTTTAGGATATCATTATCCTGTTTTGTAAGGACGTTTTACAAACATAAACTTCACGCGGACAAAAACAACTATCTGTGGGTCACAGTGTGTTGTCCCGAGTAGGAATCGAACCCACGATCCCCGACGCCGAAGCTAATATCTTGGCAACTACGTCACGGAGTCATCAAAACGTGCTCCTCCCCGATAACGCGTCGCTTACAGACCCTTTAGCCACTAAGTTAAGTAACGACCAGGCGATATCATCATCGCACGAAAATTTCTACCTCTTCTATGTTTTTAATCCATTTGTAGGATTGTGAGTCATCTATGTTCTGGTATACGTTGTCCTAAAATTGCGCTTATCAAAAAACTGGTTAGTGCATTATGTAATACATCCCACATAGATTGGGTCGTCACTACTTGTGAATCATGTTGGAAGTGGTTTTAGCTGGGCCTATTACTACCAGCTGCATACCTGACATCAATTCTAATATTTACTATTAATTTATTTAAAGAGTATTGTATCTTATTCTAGTTTCAATTTTGAACACATTTTCAGATGTAATAAAGGAAAGTGAAAATATTATTTGAAAAAACAGTAAAGTTTTTGTAGATAACAGTTTTTGTAAATAACGACTTACTTATTTTTACATTTACAATGCCATCAACAATTTGTATAGCTGTACAATTTACGGTTTGATCGGTTAGTTTTAGGGCAAATTAGAAAAAAAAAAAAGATAATTCAAAAGAAATTGGCCACAATTGTATTATATTACGTATTATTTTCGTTCTTGTTCTTTGTCACTTCGTTCGTTATAATAAACTTCGAATCGGTTTTTTTCTTATCCGCTCCGCCGGACCGAGATTAGGTAATTTGGACCCCTCAATGAGATGTCATTGGATCCTCATCGCGGTAATGACGAGCAGGATGCGATTTTGAGTATCATTCGCGGACGCAAAAAAGCGCGGCGAATTATTAAGAACCCATCCTCTGTCGACGCTTTGATCGGGCCGTAAGGCATTTAGGGTTTGAAAGTTCTGCTGTATGAAGCAATAAAATCTGTAAACTTAGATGTGTGAGGAACACCCAGAGTGTTAGAAATTTGGATGCGTGTGTGTGTGTGTGCGTGTGTGTGTGTGTGTGTGTGTGTGTGTGTGTGTGTGTGTGTGTGTGTGTGTGTGTGTGTGTGTGTGTGTGTGTGTGTGTGTGTGTGTGTATGTGTGTGCGTGTGCGTGTGCGTGTGCGTGTGCGTGTGCGTGTGCGTGTGTGTGTGTGTGTGTGTGTGTGTGTGTGTGTGTGTGTGTGTGTGGTAAATTTATGCGATGACATTAACTGGGTATACGTATTCGTATTTAGGTCATTCTGATAATAATAACGAAAAAAAAAAAACGTTAACATGACTCATATCAAACTGTCACCGCGTCAATACGATTTATTACAAACCATACGTTGTAGGTACAATTTTTAACGAGTTTAAATGATAACATTTCATATAATAATAGATAAGATAAATTGAGATATATATATAAAAAAAAGTATGTACTTGTGTACACACGTTAGAAGTTAGATTTCTTAAGCGTAACAAAAGAATAATAACTAAAAATTTATGTACTCTCTGTTTGTGAAAAAGACAAGATTATGGTATAATCAATGATATTATATACAAATATTAAAAATTACAGATATTAAAAATCATTGGGTATAATTATTTAACTTGAAATTATAAGTAAATGTCAAAAAATTGTTATTGGTTAACATGGAAATATCGTTAAGTTGGTCGTTTTGCAACCAACTCTACGGTATTACCATGGCAAACAACGCATCGTAAAAATTTTATTCTCATAATTTTTTCGAAACGCGCCAAAAGAACTATTAAAATATTATTAGTTGTGTGTGTTTTATAATTTTTAAGGTCAGATAACCTTGCGGTAAAAATACGGGAGACAAAAAACTTTGGTGTTTTTAAAAGGACCTCAATTACAAGAAAATTATATCAGCAGGTATAAAACGAATTATCAGTCCCCTTTTATAATTCATATTAGAAAAAAATGTTATCCCGTCGAACTCAAACAAATTCATAATTCCTCAGTTTTTTCTTCAGTTCTTCCAACCTAAGTGGTTATAACATATTTTATGTCTGAATTAATGTTTTTCTGAATTAACCTATAATAAACAGAATTATTATATTGTAACCAGAGCTGGAATTTGCTGAAAGCGAATTTTAAATTCTAACAAAATTTTACCTACGTAACAGTGTTCGAAGACACTGATTAAAAGAATCGATCCATGACACTGATTAAAACAATCGTCTTAGTTTACCAATATTTAAAATGAAAAGCTCCACTTTTTGTCATTTTTGTGCAATTGGATAGGTAATATAAAAGGAATATTATTTAACTCAGTTGTGTATGAAACATAAAATTGAAACTTTTACCACCAACTTAATATCCAAAACGGGAATCTCTTCGGCGGCCGCGATTCGTCGAAGGTCATTTTGCTCGTATCGGGCGCCGCTTCCACGGCCCTCGTCTACGCTGCCGATCAACTGTCGCTTAGATTGTATGTAAATGGGGCGGTCCGTATTTATGGCTCTTTGATCACTCGGCCCATTGTGCGGACCGTACGCGCCGAAAAAGCGTCCGCGCGTATTCAAATACAGCGGCCCAATCCCTAGCTGTCGACTCAATCCCTAGCGGCTGCCCGTGCAAGCCCAGCGCGCGATATTCGAGGAGCTTGCAATTCAGTATTCGGTTTTTACGACGATAGCGCGACGCGTGAAAGCGTGATCTTAAATACATACAGTTCTTAGTGCCTTTTCGCAGTTAGTTGTTTAGGTTGATAGCGTGACACGTGGAAAACGCGATGCTTATAAAAGACCCTAGCGCTTTTTCGCACTAAATCGTAGAGGTTCGATATTGAGTATTTAGGTCGATAGCTTGTATCTTGAATTAACTGATGTTTTTGCATTCAGTCCCGAGACTATTAAAGCTTCATCTGACGCAGAATTAGTGGGCTAACCAGAACCCACGGATTTGGGCCCTCCGCTGTGGGTAGGGCCACGCATGTGCTCATGCGTGCGTTTAAGTAAGTCGATAGCGCGACGCACAAACAATGTGATGCTTAATATAGATTCTAGAGCTTTTTCGTACTTACTCGTAGAGGTCTGATATTGAGTACTTAAGTTGAAAGCGCGACACTCGGAAAACGTGATCCGTAATTAATAATTTGATGACTCCATGGCGCAGTTGCAAAGGTATTGGCTTCGGGGTCGGAGGCCGTGGCTTCGATTCCCACACGCGACAACTATTTGTGTGACCCACAGATAGTTGTTTCGCATCTGGGTGTTTGTCCGCGTGAAATTTATGTTTGTAAAGCGTGCTTACAACACAGGATAACGTTATCCTATAGTAAGGGTAATATAAATAATACAGATAGCGTTTTTCGCACTTAATTGTAAACAAAGCTGCCATCACATTTGCGTAAAATAGAATATCGTACTTTTTGTGGAGCATGAGTTATAGCTAGCTTTTGATCCCTTGTATTTACGAGAATACTGTACGTGGTTAAATGAAACTATTTTACAGATTTTATCGGGTTTATTTTTTACTTGCTAGTTACTTTTTGTGATATATATTATATCTCACTAAGCAAGTTCGGCAAAACATGAAATCAGTGAGTGTCACCGTGTACTAAACATACCTAAAAGACAATCAATTACCATGACCTAACTACGCCACGATGATTCGAACATAATGAGTGAGTATTTTCTACGATATAAAAACAAGTTCTCAGCTATAGTAATAGTGTTCGAGGGATAGAAAAACGAGACGCTTTGCAGCACGGCGTCCGGGGTATTGGGTATCAGATAACTACCAACCGGGACATTGACGTCAGTTTAAACATCTTTAAATTCGACATCTCGACGTCTGACTCACGATCCGCATTATTTGCAACCAATTTAAGCGGGTTTTATCCTGCCAATTTAAATAGGGCCGAAAGTTTTGTTTTACTTGCGAGTTGAGTGACTTACGCTCCGCCACATCTTGCATTCGGCCATCATTATAAAGGAAAAATGAGATCACTAGTGATTTATAAAGATGGGATTATTTAAAAACTTTTATTATTTGTATATGTTATCTTCATAATGTAAATATCAACACGTTTGAATACAATATGTAAATAATACTTTTCGATGTTGCCATATTTATACACATTTCAAGTTCAATTCTATTAATTAATGTCAAAAATGTAATAAAAATTTTTATATTATCAGTATTTTTATAGTATTACTATTATTTATGAGTACTAGTAGTAATTTTTACAGTATTATATCTTTGCACTTAAGATGAAAAAACATAGTATAAATGGACTAAAAGTTTTTCGCCGCTGCGAGAATCGAACCCACCTCTTCCCGTTTAGCGCCCAGTCCCTTTAACTACTAAGCTACGGCTAAAAACTTTTCATCCATTTTTTCATGTAGAGTAGAAAAGATATCTTACCGATATCAGGACAAAGGGAGACTGGTCCAGTTTCATGGCCTCCAGTTGCCTGAACGTGGGCTCGAGGGTGACGCGTAAAGGCGACTTGAGTGAGGCCTCCACCAGTGCGGCGAGTAGCTGCCGGGAGGTGGGTTCGACGCCCAGGCCGGAACTGAAGGCCGCCAGGGCCTCGCCATGCCGACCCAGACATTGGAGGGCCACGCCTGCACAAATAAGAAATATGTACATATTTGTATTACCTATTAGGGATATCGTGAAAAGTGAGTTTTTACTTTTTTATAATTACTAGATAGGTGAAACACGAATTAGTCCTCTTGAATGGCTTGACAGATTTTCAAATAAAAAAACGTAAAGCTCTATAACAATTTTATAGGTTTATACTGTTGCTAATATGGTATAAGGTTTAATATGACTATAGACAATATTCGAATATTATTTTTATAGTATAAGGATATTATATTTTTATATGTAAAAAATGATTATGTCGGACTCGCACTGACTGATACCGCAACGCTGGCAAAAGCAGCCTTTTGCGAGGGTTGGTCCCTGTAGTAGTTTAAGGTGCTTGCTACTACGTGGTCCGTCTTATAACAGTAATGGATTCTGTACCCCAGAGGTCATGGAAGTTAGGAAATCCAATCTACATTGTTATATCGACCTCTCCCCGCACAGCACTACCATTGCCCACAGTTGTATGATCGTTAGCCGGTGGCCCAATTACCAATACCAACAGCTCTCTTCCCCTGCACTTTATTCCGTTGCAAAGAACAGGGAGAGTGGTTCTGCCTCCATCACCTTTCACCTGCCTACATACCAAACCAATGCTCCTACTCAGGGTGGACCAGTCAGGCTTAGTAAGAGTTTGATATCTGCAGCGTGGTCCCAAGTCACGGTTAGGTAGGAACCCGGCCGGGTATAAATCACACCCTGAGTGTCAACGCTTCCCGTAGCATATTCGAACTCCATAAGCGGTCGCATGACAGCGTTCCATAATTGGCGAACTTTAAATAATTGGAGTCCATCGCAATAAGGACATTGCAAAGATGCTTCTTAATATAATTGGACACGGTATGTAAAGGGAAAGACGTCATTAGCTACTGATATATGCGCTCCCGAGACAACTGCATGAATTTACAAAAAGAAAGTGTTTCGAGCACTGCAATCCAATTCGGCAGTAACGATAACTTAAGACTTGAACAGCCTGTGTATAATAATAAAATATACATATGAAACCGTAATATTCGTTTGCGTGCAGAGATTTTTTTACCTTCGTAAATCAATTGAATGTTCATATGCTGTTTCTGCACGCCGCTGTCAAAGTCTTTAGTTAATGTTGTGGAAAGTACATTACTTGCTTATTACAATTACATTGAAGATTACCGTTGAAGTTTTGAATAAAACAATCTGTTATAAATTCATCTGAAAATCGTTATTGGTAATAATCAAAAGTGATTTAATGTATTTATGCAAAAGATAATTCCATTTTAACAAAGATTATTACGATGGACCGTCATATGATTAAACAATTTTTTATTAAGGTCACATGAAAAAAGCCACACCGGTGAGTCAGGATCGTGCAAAATTTACTTAGGAGCGTGATTCTGTCTCACCGTTTTTGGGTTTAAAAGCTGAATATGTATAATATAAAAAGAATGATGTTCAATTCTGACAGTAAATAATTTCGGATTTCTTTTATTGCTTCATCGATAGGTAAAATTTTAGCTCTTCCAGGATTCTCTTTTCGAATATATCTCAAGACGCTCTAGCCATTTAGCTAGCGGTCGAAATTCTCACCGCGCCAAGATCTCGGATTCTCATCTCAATGCTCGGCTTCATCGAATATGCTTCATTTTCTTACCTAACTGTCTTCTATGTAATGATACTTCCCCCGTCAAGCTCACCTATACGGGTAGTAATAGCTGTTATGGGCGGCAAGAATCACTGAATATCAGGTAAAGCGTCTCGCCTGCCAACTTCTCACACACAAAAAGATATGGAACGCAATTCTACACTTAATGCAATGTGACTCTCACAAAAATTATAAACAGTGCCATCACATAATAAACACATACGTATTTAATAGGACGTTTGCGTGTGTGCACATATTACGTGTGTTCTGGCAACAAGAAAAGTGAAAGCAAGAAGCTAACGATATTCGCTGTAGAAAAGCGGAATCGTCGTAACTCGCTACGATGATCGCACTCATTTGAATTGCTATTTACTATTCCAATAGGTAATTATTTCCTCAGCCCATAAGTCGTGTTCAGACAATCGACTTTCGAAATGAATATGAAAATGATGTTAATGAAAATGCAAATGATAAACATTAACATTATAGATAACATTAAGTTACAAGTACTTTTCACATTCTTTTTGTTTTATTTAAAAATTACAAAATAAAACTAGCTTAATAATAAACCTTAGTACAATAATAACAGCGGCCAGCAAAATCATAGTCTAATAGACATATTGCAAAGAACCTTACATTAAAAGCCAAAGAACATTTTGAACAAACAACAAGCTTGTTTTGTCATTTCCATAAAATATTTTCAATCGTTAAAACAAAACATTAACAGTTTGGGAAAACAGTTAAACGCATTACCTTGTCTGTAGTACGCTTTCGGCCAGTTGGGACAGAGTTCCCGCGCCCTGGTCGCATCTTGCAGGGCCGCTGCGAACTGGCCTTGCTTTAGTCGGGCCGCGGACCTTTTGAAAACGGGAGAGCTTGGTTATTGTTAACCCTTTGATTTGCTAAATCTAAAACTCCGTAAAAAAAACATCTTCTTAGGGTGTCACTTAAACTAGTGTAGTTTGGCAGTCAGCTAAAACATAAGCCATCTAAGAAGCTTCTAATGAGCACAAGTGGCAGTAAATTGCCCAAAAATTTTCAAGACATCATCACACTTAGCAATGAGTCCTTGATTTAGGAGCAGGAATTGATATTAATTGATACCTATATACTGTTATTGTTAAAATAAGTTAGTGGCCTGTTCCCCACTTCGTAAACAATGTGAAAAGTTATGAATTTGTCGTTTTTCAAGGCTTAGCAATATCGTAAATAATGTTTGTAAGCCCACACGAGCTTTCAAGAGATTGTGTTCAGATTAACAGAACTAGTTATTACTGCAAGATTCCGTTATGTTAAAGTTAGCTTGCTTTGTAGGAAAGAGGCTATGGTTAAATTGTTGTATTTTTATATTGATCGGCTATTCATGTCTCGGCGCCACACGTGATCTTTTGCGGACATCTTTTGAATTCAAATGTCGGCCTTGAGGGATTTAGATGGCACTTTCAATTTCAAAACAGATATTCCCTTAATTCCACCAATTTCTGTTTTCCCGACGGTCCTCGAGCTACGGAAGTTTTACGTTATATTTTTTCCTGTTTGAAAGTATAGATGTTAATTTCTTGTATTTATTTTAGTATAACTTTTTCAAATATGTATATAATGTCAGTAGAGTAAAAGTCAATTAACAGTCTATACATTATGTGGAGCCGTGATAGCTCAGTGTCCGGGCGCTCGCCTTTAATTCAATATACTCGAGCAACCTGAGTTCGATCCCCGGTGCACCAATGAAGTTTTAACTTTAAGTGCTGACTTATCACGTGCTCCGCGGTGAAGGAAAACATCGTGAGGAAACCTGCATATTTTCGAAATAATAACAAAAAATATTTCGAAGATATGTGAAGTCCGCCAATCCACAGTGGGGCCGCGTGGTGGACTATGCCCTGATACCCTCTGTATAGAGGAGGCCTTTGCCCAGCAGTGGGACATGCATAGGCTGTTACTTTACTTTTTTTACTTTACATTATGTGTGGGAAAGACTTACTTTGTACAGAGGACTAGTGTAAGAACATTACAAAAATGTTGAAATTATTTTATTGTTCAGCATACATACCTGTTGCTATACAGGATGTGGTTCGCTGGATCTAGAGTCAACGCATCAGTGTATAATGCAACGGCCGTGGAAAAATCACCAGCCTGACATGCTGCATTGGATGCGCGTACTTTCTCCACGAAGAGAGCTCTGGACGCTGCCCCTAATGACGCTGAGCCGGTTGGCTCTACCTGCAAATTAAAATTCAGTTAGCCAACAGACAATCTACCAGGACATTAGCGATGGTCAGGAATTTATCGTATATTTCTTCGTTTATAAAAGATTACCGATGACGAAACCTGTTAGTAAACGAAAGAGCAATGTTTTCTGTTAAAGTGATAGATGACCACTATACAACATCGATTCAAAATATCTAAATACCGTGGCCTTTTCGACACAGCCCGCTGCGGTGAGCTATAAAATCGATGAGCAATAAAAGTTTTGATTTTAATTGGATCGGACATTTACGATCGTGTTGATTTAATGCTTTGGTCGTCCGCTGTAGATCTTACTCTTACCATGCGTTTAAATGAAACATTGTTGCAAGGAGTTGGCGATCGAAATGTGATTTTTTATATTACATTTCGTTATTAGCCAATTACCAATCGTGAGGGAGTTTACTTTGAAGGAGAGCGGTCCGCCATTGAAACAGAAAGCCACTCCAAAGAATAAAATGAATTATTCAGAACTTGCATAGATAAACTCTCCGTCAGAGCCGATCAACAACGCTATAATAACTGCCAGTCATCATTTTGGACACTTTGTGGTTTATTTCTGTCCTACGGAAGGCCGAAGCTTGAACGAATATATGATTTAAATTCGTTACTAAGGAATAGAGTGAAATTTCAAATCAAAACCTAAAGGTATAATAAGGCCCAAGAGACATCATTGTACGTCTCTTGGAGATTTTAAATCTCATAACTTTACATTACAAACCTACATTGATTGTCCTGAAATTTGTAACTGTCGACTTTTAAATCATATAAATTCTTTTTTCAGCCCAGTAACTGACCAGAGCCTTACCACCATTTATCTGATGGTAAGTAAAGATACAATCTGTGATAATACTTGTGCTGTTTAAAAGGAAAAACATGTTTCCTTTTTCATTTTCACGATTTCTCATGCGATTCTTAGCAATAGTTAAAACTTGAAAACTCTAGCTTCTAGTGTTGTTTCTTAAAATCAGTTACCATATTTGACCCACCAAAGCAAGTTATCAAAAACGTAGTAATCTGAAGTGATTTTAAATTTTATTTAACTGCTATTTACTTAAAATGAAATTTGAAAAAACAAAAGTAGATAAGACGTCGATTTTAGTTCGGTGATTATGTTGACCGCTTGGCTTAGTGGATAGAGCGTCTGGATGCGTAATGCGGAAGGTGCGGGTTCGAATCCTGGCAGCGGCGAAAATATTTGTGACAGTTTTAAGTACAAACTTTTATTATTATTTAGTCATAAAAGTAACACTAATAACAAACTTTTTTTATTAGTGTTACTTTTATGTGAGAAGGTGGCAAGCGATCTGGCGGTTTACCTGATGTTAAGTGATAACTGCCGCCCTTGGATATTTACAACACCGCCACCGATAGGGTTGCAGATGTGCGGTTTGTCTCGCAATCGCTGTAGCTCTGCTGATAGCGTTGCATCTCACGTGATAAAGCGAAGACACTGTTGCGTGGCCCTACCACAGATATATTAAAGATTGATGCAATATTCTATTCAAAATATTAAGCGCGTCAAATTATTTTCAATTACAATTATTGATACAACCTTAAAATACAATATAAAGGTCAAGTTATACACATTCCGCTTATTCTCAGTTTATTTATTGCCAGTTTATGTGCCTTCGCATTGTTGTTAAGTTATGATTTAATTTTAATGATGCTTGTACACCGGTCCGCGGAATGCAAGCTCCCATTACACGGCATGCTATATTAACGACATGAAGGTATGGATTCTGTCTAACATATATCCTATTACCTATAGATAGATTCCAATAATTAAACCCCAAGTTAATTTGGTAAAAAATTTACAATACAAGAATTGCAGGTAGTAGCGCCATGCAATAGTGTTCGCACGAATAGGCAGGTCCGTCCGGGTTAGTACCACAGGCTCACAGAAAACCAGCGTGAAGTAGAAGTGTTCACTTCTTCGTTTCGTCTGGTGAGTGAGGTAGCCGGGGCCCACTTTATTAAAAGGTGGCAACGTATGTGCAACCCTACGGGTATTGCAAATATCCATGGGCAGCGGTTATCACTTAACATCAGGTGAACCGCCAACTCGTTTGCCACTTTGGCACTTTAAAAAAAATATCATGTACCCATCTGACAAACAGTGTCCAACCTCTCAAGGTGATTTATTTGTTGGTTTTATACAGAAGATATAAAAATACAAAAGATATAAAGTCGGGTTAGGCAAATTACATTATGTAATTTGCCTAACCCGACTTTGCCTTAATGTTGTCTATACAGTGGGGGTCAAGTAGCTCTTGGAAATCATTCTTCAGTGGACCAGCATTTCCATGGTTTTGGTATTAGACGAAGCTTTGTATTGCCTATGGATTGGGAACATGTCTTTCGTCTACACAAAACACATGAGACCCAGTAGGTCTCATGGGTAGATTACTGTACTGAGCAGATACCAACAAAGAATTGATATCTTCTAAAACCGAACTATACAAAAAAAGAAAAGTTTAAATTTACGAACAAGAAATGGCTGTAGACGATGGAATTGATAAAAAACTTGACACCTGTCTTTAATCTCTCTAATTTTTTTTATCATGGAATGGAACAGGAAATTACGTCAATCTATTTATCACATCACTAAACGTCACCACAACATTTTTTGCATCCGCAAACAAGTCCCAGCATCCGCTAATCATCTCTAATGGCGTCAAAACGTTTCGTGTGCAATGAAAGGGATTAGATGCAACTAGCCGGCAATATTCCGGGAAAGTGTATAACGAAATGTTCCATAAATATTTACAGGATCAAAACGTCGTGTGCCCCCATAACAAAGGCATAAAGGCAGCGGGACCCGACTCATAATAAGAAGGCAATAAAAAGACAATGTTGAGGGCTACTGAATTCCGAAGCCCAGAGCCGGTCGAGTTTGACTACTGTCCGTGTGTCATCGGCCCTACGTTTTTTATTCTCCCCTAGTGATCCCTCCGGTGACAGTTACGGTCATAATATTCGATCGACAAGCTAATTTTTTTTCAATTTGTCATTAGTTATATAAAAGAGAAACAGACAATGACAGTTATTACGAACGTCCACAGCGAAGTTTTCTCCTAATTTTTTGTTCTTTATTAAAATAGAAAAATATCAAACAACATATTGTGAATTACATTTGTAATATTTTTTATATTTACTACAAATTACTAGGGAACTGTTTTTACGGATTTATCGCCTTTATTTAGCGCCTCAGTCTTGTCTCTGTGCTTCAAATCATACAAAACGAAAGGAATTAAAGTACACGAGATAAATATTTTATTTACAATTTTAGTAATTGTATATGTCATTAGATCTGATGTGTAGGTAATATATATTTTGCGGTATGTTCGAGTTGATATTGAAATTATGTGTAATATGTGTAGTAGTGTTATACATTGTAGTTCCATGAAGATATTTTATTCTTGCTAATAGAGATTCGTTCTACTGCTCTCTATTTAAAGTCTTCTAGGCTGAGAGACAGAGATAGACACTATCCTGTAGAGTGAAGAAGAAGACTGGATTAATATGCATTCTTCTACCCTCTGTTGTGAGATACTATGTATGACTGAAACAATAAAAAAAGTGCTTTAATAAAATAAAAACATTAAAAATTTAGGATCTATTCGTTATAGTTAAGCCATAAAAGGGACTCATTTAGTTATTTAACTGCTGAGAATTAAATTATTACGTTTTACTCTCTAACATAAAATCTCCCACGACTGCCTTATTAAATGCGTGTCTGTGCGCGCTAAGTAAATAACTCCACTTAACAATGGCGGTACGTATTTGGTGCTTGGGTTGAAATGGGAATAGCCCGCCAAATACGGGCCTGTCTTATCCGTATTAAGCATAGCGCGCTAAAAAAAAAAACCTTCTAAATTTGAAACGGCGTGAGGCGTTACCACCTGCGCTATCTAGCGGAGCGCATCGGAAGAGATACTTTTTTTTTTCCCCACGAACCGCATTCTCTTACCATACCATTAAACATCCAGTCCCATGGCTGTACGTCTTGCGCGCTGTACATCGTCGCGTCGCATTATCCTGTCTCGGATGTCCGCTATGGGTAACAACGTAATGTATTGCGTGAGAGTTTTTAAACTTTTTCTTGTGCCGTGCTTTTGTTAGTTCGAAATCAGCGATAAACACGCTCTCCACCTCCAACCTGTTGCATCGTTTTTTCATAGTTTATTTAGAGTGAATGAATCAATCGAACAAAAACATTAAGTAATTCCAAATGTGATGTTATTATTGTAACCAAAACATGCGGGTAACTTCTACTATTAAGAATTTTAATACCTAAAACGTCTTTAAGCCTGTAACTTATCGCGCAAAGGCAGTCATACATCAAGTGTTAATTAGGTATCTATGTATGTCCAAATAAACGAATTAAATGTTGTAACTGTTAAAATAACAAACCGCGTTATTATATTAGTAATCGTTTTTGAAGAGAGGAACGAAACTTCACAATTTATTATTATTACTATCGAGAATTATTAAGTTGTGTAAAGACATTGAAAAAAAGTAACGAAACAATATTTAATATCAAGTACAGCTTGGGTAGCATTCAAGGTTTTATGTGAATTACTTTTAAAGGATCATGAATACTTAACAGGTCGGATATTTAAATATTAAAATGAACGTTACGTATTTTAAATTTAAACGGGTGGAGAAAGATGGTATATAAATGCACATTAATCCAAACCTATTTAGTTCCAAAACGTGAACAGCATGGCATATATTTAGTGATTTGAACCGCGGCCGTCGGTTTTGGGGCCGCCCGATTACCGACCGAGCTATTATAAAATTTATTTTCGCGGCGAAATTTACCATCATATTCGAATGATATTTTTCATTCCCCGAATGAAACCTCGCCCCCGAATCTACGCACATACTAAATTTCATGAAAATCGCTGGAACCGTTTCCGAGATTCCGATTACATAATTATGTATATACGCGTGTTGTTACCAACGCGACAATAAATGAACACACATATAGAGGATAAATTTTTAAAATTGTATTAAACATTTACATTCTTCAAACATCAATATTTACAGAGTTATTAAATTTTTCAAAACATACAATTTTTGAACACCCTTACGTATAAAACTGTAACGTAAAGTTCATTTGTAAAGGTCACAAAGCATATGAATGGGTTGAATGAATTTAAAAGAGACAAAACATACTGTTAGAAGGAGAGGCTTGTAATGCGACGCTGTGGCGCGAGTTGTATAGGATGTTACAAATTTTGTTTCTGTTTTACTTAATTAGTTTGTTTTAAAAATATATTTTTTTAATTATGGATTTT